ACAAGATAATAAAAGAACCACATGTTATCATCCGCCAGTGGCCGAGACTGAGAGTTAACCACCTGCAAGAAAGCAGTATAACTCGCTAGACTGAGATTGGACAACTTAAAGCCAATGACGATTACCGTAGAACTTTCAAAACCCAAACCTAATGCAAGAGTCTTACTGCATGAAATAAAATAACAATAAGACACAAACGTCTTAACCTGGAAATTAAACTGCAGAAAAGGTAAAATATAAACAAACTCCAAAACGCGTCGATCAACCCTTGGCGGTGGTTCTGGAGGAGGCCTGACTCTCGCGACTATTGTTGATGCACCAATCATTGCTCGGCTCTCCGTATCTGCGCCATCGCCAATCCCCTGCTTACCAACGCCATCCATCTCCATCTGCAATCGTCCTCCTTCGATCTCCATGTCCAAGCCCTGCTTCCCAATATCAATCGTCTTCAGAAGCGCCCCTGTCCAAATCAACAAAGCTGTCTTGCACCCAAATAAAATCTGCAATCAATAGGAACCTTCACTCCGTGTCGGCGTAAACTCCTGCCCAAAAGCCAAGCCGGAAGAGAAGCACCAAACGCCGGATCAGGAAAACTCGGCCGAAGCCGCCGTACCCACAGCCGAAGGCCGCCGCCGGGAAAACTTGGCCGAAGCTCTCGAACCCACAACCGAAGGCCGCCGCCGGAAAAACCTAGGAAAACCTAGAGAGAAAACGATCATGTAAATGAATTAATTATCGATAAAGATGATCTATCTTTAACATTGGTTGACCAAAAAAATATTAACTTTGCATATGAATTTGGGACAGAGGGAGTATGAAAATTGATAAATTGTGTGGATTTATGTAGGATGGCTAAACTTTAATTTTCTCTTAAACACTTGGAAAAAGTGGCATTGTTTGATATTGGTATGACATGATACCGCCCCGTTTGAAAATGGAACCGTACCGAATGCGTATAAGTCTAAGACCGAACCGAACCAAACCGTTTGATTAGTAATAGTACCAGTACGGGTTCTGTCCAAATATTGGACAACGCCCACAGGCCCCACCCCTACCGCCAAAGGCGCAGCCGGTTAAGGGAAGAATAGTGACGACGTGATCTTTACTAGAAGGCGGCAAGGCACTGGAATTTCCCAAGGTGTACGCTGATCAATAACAACTCTTTTCCAGATTAATCAGTGGTTAATTCGTTGTCCTAATTGCAATAACTCTTCTAGTCAGCTGTTTTTTACTCCGTATATTCTATTCTGAGCTAATTTGAGCAAAAATCTCATCTTGTGCGAGTTCTCTACATGTTCTGTGGTAATTAGCCAGAATAAGTGTCTTAAAGAAGAAAGTTTGATAGAATTAGTGTGAGGATATGCCTGCATTCTTTTCTTTGGTGATTAAGATCTGCTGTAATTGTGCTTATGGCTGATTTTTTTCACAACCTCGACTGTTGGTAGGGTTACGGCAATTGATTATGAAATTCTAGAATTCGAAAAAATGACATGGTGTTGTTTGGTTTCTGGATAGTGTTCTGTAGGCTGCCTGAAAAGACTCCGGGATTGCTGATTAGAAATTCTTCTTCTTCCGAAATTGCTTTCTCAGCTAATAGAAATGGTCTCATGGCTATAAAAGTCAATGCTTGCACCAAAATTAGGGCCGTTAGCAATAGAGAGTAGTTCAAGTGCAATCTCATGGACTGCACATGGTATCTGCATCCGTGAAATATCTAGAAACAGTAAAAATGGCCATAATCATTAAGAAAAACATAATTATATAGGTATTTTTGGAAGCTCTGTATGGCCATAAAATATTCCTATAAGATGTGTCGTTGCAGATGAACATATAAGTCACCAAACATCCTTCAAACCTCAGATATTACAATTAGTTGCGATAAAAATCTCTTAGCCTTATCGAGACTTGAGAAATTTAGTATTATGAAATGTTACAAACAGTATTAAATCTTCACATCTTGAATTTTATTGCTGAAGAATGACAAAGGCCATTCGTGTAAAATTTTCAAGTTTTATCATAAAGAACTTTAGTTCTATAAATATTAATGCACTGCGGCATAATATGTGGACTCTGTACTTCTAGATATGGTACTTGCAGGCAGCAGGCTACAACCGCTACATTTCTCCTTTTGGTGTTTGAGAAAATCTTGTTTAGAATTGGCTGATTGGCTTTTGCTCCCATTTCAATGTAGACGCTATTGAATGATATCTTCTGTTACACCCTTACACATGGTCTGATCTTATTTAGGTTTAAATACCTGCAAATATAGTTCGTTGTTTTGTTTTTTAGATTCCAGCAAAGTTACAGTATTTTGCATCCATTTATTTTTTATCATTACAGTTTTTTAACCCTCTCCAACTCTCTAGAAACCCCTGTTTAACCTCAAAACCTATATTTATACAAGATTTCATTTTTTACATCATTTTGACAGCATTGAGACCTATATTAAAAGCGTGAATGCGGACTTTGGTTTGGGGCTTGGCCGTAATTCCACAAAAGTCTGTAAAAAGTTACAGTTTGTAAAAAGTTTGGTTTTATTTATATTATGCTCTGTAACAGTGTAACCTCAGTCTTCTTATTCATTTCATACTTCATCAAGTCTCATCATTTATCTCCATGAGATTATCTATTTAAGGTCCATATACTTTCTTTCTTTTTACACAGCTACTCAGTTGCACCATCTCTCTGTTAACTGTTGCTGCATTGTTCTTCCTTCATTTTTTAGAAATTCTTCTTTCCTTTGAGGGGTCGCGGTGGGTGAGTATGAGTGAATGATTTTTCATTGTGTATCCATTCCTCTCTTGCCAAAGCTTTGCACTTGTCTTTGTCTACCGACATACTGATATATTTTCTTTCTTAGGTTTCTGAAGATTCTGATTTCTGAATTCCGATACTGCCCCTTGGTTAAGATAGCCAATACAGTTTTTCTGTCAGCGTTGTGCTAGACCATGACTGACAATATACCACCTGGAAATCTTCAAGGTACTTCTACTAGTAGCCCTCTTCAGTCTTAACCTCTGTCCACATATCCTCCTTTCAACCGTAACTGGGCAGTTGAGTTCTTGATACACTAGTACTAATAAAAAGTAGAACCAACTTTCAGAGAAAATTTGGTAACCCTTATTTTCAGCTTATCACTTTTATCAGCCAGACTTTTTACCAAACATGTAACTTTGGATTTGGCGCGCTGAATTATGTAATAATCAAAATAAGTAGGTTTGGAGTTACTTTTATGACTGATGAATTTGCTGAAGTTACCGTAGAGGGTCATTTTAGCTATTTTTCATATATAACTGTTTCCTAATTGTATTAATAAAATACATTGTAAATATAATTTTTTTCACAATTCAGCAGATTCAGTTTACTATTTTTCATGTATATATATATATATATATATATATATATATATATATATATATATATCTGTTTCTTAATTGTATTAATAAAATACATTGTAAATATAATTCACTCACTTCATCCAGATTTACATCAATCTCAACATATTTAGCTAATTCTAGTATTACCAAAAGGGATCTAAATTTCCGAGTTGATACAATTCTGATTCTTTGTGGATATCAAGCTCTTATTTCAGACTAATATAGGAAGACTTGGGATTTTATCCATTTATGTTCTGCTTCAGAACTGGAACCGGGGAAAATGGGTTATGGATTTGGGAGTACCATAACTTGCTAATTCGGTTCCATTTTATTGTTTTTGGAGGTAAAGATGAAAAAGTAGTGGGTTGGTACTGGAAATGCCCCATAATTTAACCGGAACTGGAGCATGTTGGAACCGGTTCAGGTTACAGTTCACCCATTCCCGGAAACGAACCAGTCTGTGTTCAAGCCTACATTTAGGATTACATTTGTTCTCTATTTGTGAACTTGAACATGATTTTTTTGAAATCTTCAGATAAGGTGGAGGGCACCAGAGAAAAGGGGACAACTGAATCTGAACATGAGATAGATGCAATGAATGACCAAAAGGCACACCAAGATGCAGGCGAAGGTAATAAAAAAATCAGCAAAACTGACTCTAAAGGAGAAAGGGATATCATCAAGAATTTAGTGCAAAGGGGTGGTGCCGGTGAGGTAAATATGGAAGCTGAGATAACTCCTGATGATGTTATGAGGGCCGGAGGGTTAGGAGCTAGAGATGATATTGGTAGTTTCCTCCCTACAGCTATTGACACAACTGACTTTGAAGCCTCTCTTCTTGATGCTCGAGAATATGAAGAGCCTCAGGAACGCATATGCAGACCTGGCCTTGGCTGGACAGACACAACTAATGATAATAAGTGAACCTATTATTGCCATCAAGAAGAGAGTTTCTAGGCCCCCCTTCATGCCGCCACCCTTTTCGACTCTCACTGTTCTCTTCCTGATAATACTTTGAACAAGATCCTATATGTATGAGTAGTTCTGATCTCCTTGTTTGTTAAAAATACTGAAGGGTTATGGAGTTGGTGTTATGCATCTCTCTGTTTCCTTTTATTTACTTTATCTTGTGTATCACTACTGTGAGAATCTCATTCTCCCCTTTGATCTGAAATGGAAATTGGTCTTTGCATCTCAATTTCCCCCCAATATTATACTTTGAATCCCATGTTTTCTATCTTCGAACATGTACCACAGAGTAGAGTGTGGAGTCTAATACTCCCATGTTTTCTATCTTCGAACTTGCACCACAAAGTAGAGTGCGAAGTCTAATAAAACCGTCCCCCACTTGGCACTTTGGGGTGCATGTTCTAAGAGAGAAAACATGGGATGCGGAGTAAACCGTGAGGTGAAAAGATTATTGTACAGAAACAGATGAGAAGTACATACATGGCAATAGTGTACAACAACAGATGTGAAGATTTGAGTTTGCAAGTCATGTACTACGATAAAGGATTCTATACCCATTTGTTGAATAATTGATTTTGTACCCCAAATCCAAAAACTGAGGTTTGTTGTAATTATGTGGTGTAGAGTTCCAAGAGAAATGACCCTGTTTTGGGGCTTGGGGAGTACCCATGATTTAACGATCCGAATATTAAATTAAACGCTATGGTGCAAAGTTATTTTCTTCCCATAATATATTCTATGTGCTTATCTATCTACACTAGAAGTACACTTTTCACAACAAATTAATGCATTATAAGTTTATAACTATTCTGGTATGCTAACAGATCTGTGCACTAAGACATTCATTCATCATTGGGCTCGTCCACTAAGATATTCTTCGGAAAATTTTGTGTCCAGGAGCCAGGATTGCCAACGGGTCATAAAGGGATTTCCTTTTGACAAAGGTCTCCCACTGGCTGCCAAAATGAGTTCTCCACTCCTCCCTAGTGTTGTAATGGGGCAAGTATTGTTTCATCCCAATCTTGTCCTTCGTGCAGAATTCTAAAATTCTTCTGTTTTGTAAAAGGATGTGTTGCAGTCCATCTTTCCCAGTAGATGATGGGTTTGCAGAGCTCAAAAATGCTACTAGGTAGAAAATATTATCCTCAGGAGTAACCAAAGATGTCCCCTTCTTCCACCTGAATTATGACATTCAGTTATTACTAATATATTCTACATAATTGAAAATTAAAGCTCTGTTTGGTAACAGTTACTAGTATTAAATAACGAATTTGCTAAAAGTATTGAGTATGCTGAAGTGACTGATTTTACTGGATTCTCTTAAAGGTTTGTTTAGTAACACACCCTTTTCAGCCAAATAAAAGGACTTTTCTTCTTCACCTGAAAAATTGTGATTTGATAATACGTCTTGCTTTTTAGGATATGATATGATTCTGTTTGGTCTACTTCTTGTTTGAAATATTAAATTTGGTCTAATCATCATGGTTGGTGTCATCTAAACTAAAAAGCAATTAGGTGAAGAGAACAACACCTAAGTCAAAAGCTACTTATTCTGATATGAAGAACAAGCCACTTATTCTGGGGATGAATAAACAAGATAGTGAAAGTTATATAATTCATACTTAGATTTATCGACAGGGTAAATGAGAATGGGGCCATTGCTAGTGTCAGTGAAAATGTTTCCGAAAACCTCTGTGGCGAAGGCATGGATTTTCGTCTTTGGAATCATAAGGTTTAGCCATGGGTGTGGGACCTCCCACAATCCTTTTTCCTGGAGTTTCATCTCTGAAGTGTGCACTCTATCCAGAAAGTCCACATAAGGAACTTCTGTATGGAAGAGCGTGGAGTTTATGTAGCTCAGCTTTGATAGAAGGCTGTCAATCTTCTGCAGAGTTGAAAAAATAGACATGTCAAAGATATACAGTTGCCAAGGTATGTTCCATAAGAGGACATTTCTTACCTTAATACAAGACAAACAAAGAGAGTTTCTAAAAAATGCATGTTTGTGATAATTTTTAGAAAAACATGATCCCAATTTCCACCTTTTTAAAAAGCATCTTGTTGGTGCTTTTAATTTGAGAAAATGCTTTTAACTCTCTGAATTCTTTGTTGATATCATGCTCTTGTTTGTGCTTTTAATTTGAGAAAATGCTTCAACTCTTTAATTGGAGGTTTTTAGTTTCTAAAGTTAAAGAGTTTCTGCAAAATAAAAGCACCAAATAGGCTCATCGTTAGTTGGAAGTTGGAACAAACACAAAGCTCATATTTGTTGATCAGATAGTATAGGATGTAGTCTGTTTTTTTTTTTGTGTGTGAAAGGTTACAATGGAAAAAAAGCTACCCAACTAGTTTATTTCTCAGAACTTATAGTAGTATATGCAAAATAAGCTCCACCAAATATACAGACAGCCTTTCAAACAAGCTTACTTTTGTTCACCAACAAGAACTGTTGACTATTTGGGTGCTTAAAATTAGCTAAAAGTTCCCAAATAAGTTGTACAAAACATACACTATTCATACCAACCTTCTCCAGAAAACTAGCCTCCTCTGGATTGAAGTACATGGCAACCTCTAAGCAGAAGAGCGTTTTTCCTTCAGAACTGAACTGGGTGGCTTGAACCGGGTCCTTAGGCTCAAAAGTAGACCTCCAGCTACTGACCAGACCGGATCGATTAATTACCACAAACCCTTCAACATAATCAAAAGAATCCTTTGATGATATGAGGGCCTCTTGGTCCTTGGCAAATTTGGCAAAATCTGAATACAGAACTCGTATCCACCTAACCTATCGAGTTATCATTTCTTGTTAGTTTGCTTTTTAGCTGTCTATCACACAATATTCTTATGATTCACCAAATATTCTATTTCAGACAAGGAAATCAAACCCAAGATCACAAGCATCTGGACTAAAAGTGGATATTTTGGTTTGGTTTGACTGAACTAAATTGAACCAATCCAAGTACTGAAACTGAACGATATGCAATTTGATTTGACTTCAATAATGTTTTTCGAATTTGAACCGAAATAAAATCGAATAGCAAATACATAAAATCCTAATATATTTAAGGAATCATATATAAACACAATAAACAAACTTTGTATGTTTTTAAATTAGTAATTATTCCCCAAACCGTTCTAAAATGGATAAAAAGTTAAAAACATGCCTGAACTCAATAGCCATCCCTAATTCAGACTAGACTAGAAATATTTGAAACACGTGGATCATTGAAGTTTGAGATTGAAACCGGACCGGGTCTTTAAATAGTCATAACAATCTCATTTTTAAAAATAAGAGTAGAATAAGTCCTCACTCTTCCTTCTTTTAGTTTTTGATGATTTTATTCACTGCGAAGTAATTTAAGTTGTATAGTTAATGGGAGTCATTAGTTTACCATATTGGGTGCTGGTTCAAGGGCAATTCTTGCTCTAGTGATGATACCAAATTGTCCAAGTCCTCCAAGTACAGCGTTGAACAGTTCAGTATTCTGTTCCTCTGAACAAGTCGTGACTTCTCCTATTCCTAGGGAATGTTTATCACCATTATTGTTAATAACATAAAACATCTACTAATTTTGACAAGGATGGTAGTGAATTATTTTTTCAGTAATGTCTTTGAATCCCCTACACCCCCACCCCACCTTACCCCACACTGCAATTTGTTTCTGTAAAATCCAAGAAACATGATTCAGCAAATCGATTTTATTTGATTTTATAATCTCTTTAGTGACTTTTGGCAACAAAACTGGCTTATGCTGCAACCTATGTTGTATGCAGGCCTACATCACGAGCACTAAATGATTGAATTTCTGGCACGAATCATTTTTCAGGGAAAACAAGGACTAATCAACACTTGTCGACTTGTAGTACATTTTGGAATTTCTTCAGTACTTTAGTAAGTACCCATAAGTGTAATTTTTATGGTGAACTTTTTAGAGGAAAAAAATTGGTAACACATATTTCAGCCAAATAAAGAAGCGTTTGTGATTGCTTCTACTTTTAAAAAGTAATTTTGAGAAAAATGTTTTAACAGTAAAAGTTGATAGTATTTGAGAAAAAAAGTGCTTCTGAAAAAAAGTAAAAGTTGGACGTACTTGATAAAGAAAATGTTTTTTGTGTAATTGAAAAAGATGAAAGCACTTTAAAACATCCCTCAATTTGCTTCTAGTTTTTAGTTTTTAATTGATTAATTTAGGCAGAAGTTGTCACTTGAAAAAATTAATTTCATCTTTTTAAGTGCTCCTTATACACCCCTGCACTCTCGCTCGCTTTGTGGGATGCTTTCGTGCACCGGATTGTCCCCTTATGCTACTTTTAAGCAAAAAATAAGACTAAATAAGACTATTTAGTAGAACCTTAAAAATAAGACTATTTAGTAGCAATTTTTTTTTGCTACTTTTAAGCGAAAAAATAAGGCTTTTTAAGAGAACCTTAAAATGTCATGTAGTTCTCTCTGCTGCTGGTCGGAAGCTATACTTCCTCTTGTTCTTGCATTATTTACTTACTCTTGTTGAGTACATTTTACTCATTAATTATTTAATCATAAAGCATTGTAAAATTTGTCTCCAAATAATATTTTAAATTATTTTTTATAGTTTTACTTATAGACATTTAAATATATCAATAATCAAAATCATTTATCACAAAACAAGAAAATGGTGAACTTAAGTGTTGTAATAAAAGAAACGGATGTAGTACATTATGGCTCTGTTTGCAACCACTTAATTTAAGTGATTGTGACTTATTTCTAAGAAAAAAACACTTATTTTATCAAACACTACTAACTTTTACTTTCTCGATTTTCGTGTAGAATCTACTTTTTACTTTTTCTATTACACAAAAAGCACTTATTTTACCAAACACTACCAACTTTTACTACTAATCACCTTTTCCCAAAAAGTGCTTTTATTTAAGCACAAACACTTGCAAACAAAGCCTATATATGGACTGTACACCAGTCCCCACTTAATGTTTGCATTTTGAATTCTAAGTCCTCAATTTTCAACCTTGGCCCATATTATTTATAGTATAATGAATTATTGTACAAAACGTGTAGTAAGATAAATTTTTCAAAAGTATATATTTTCATGTTATAACTAAATAATTGTTCCATCCTATTTTATGTGTCTTACCTTTTTGAGTTATTACCAAATAAAAATTGTGTTTCCTTTTTTGGGAAGAAATATGTATTACATACTCCGTATCGTTTAAAGTTTATCTATTAAAACCTCAACCACGTACATTTTTTATTTTGTAACTACTTTGTTGTTAATAACTATGTTGAATAAAAACACGACACATGAGATGAGACAGAGGTAGAATTATTTATGCATAATTAATTTTCAAATGATTCAAAAGCATATATGTCTACAGTATCTACAATGCCTCGATCAGGCTGTGCCCTATTGATCCAAATGCCCAATGTTCATTTTCTGATAGTCCCAAAATAAAACTCTCCGATCCCTCCTTATTTGATGATAACTTGTAGTGTCAAAACCGTACAACAGTCTGCATAAAATTTACCCATTAAAAGGGCATTTATTGAAGTCAAATTAAACAAAAAAACTGATTTACTCAAGCTCAGTGAAGGTTAAACTAAGAAGTTCTTTAAGAGGAGTATGTAGAATATAATACCTGTGACAACCTGAAGCTGGTAAACATTGTTGATCTGGGGGCCATGCCGGAATGCTTGGCCGCTAATCCCAGCATTAGACAGAGTCCCCCCAATGGATAAATGAAGATAATCAGTCCAAGATTTGGGGGTAAGCCCATGTTTAAGACTTTCATGCAGTAGGTTTATCCACAGCTCCCCAGCTGAGACATCAACATAGGAGAAGTTGCTCCCGATTGTTTGGAATCGCATTCGTGGCACGCGGAGCGATTCCATGTGGATCACCACACCATTGTTAGCCTGCGCCTGCCCTTGCAGCGAGTGGCCGCGCCCTCTCGCAGCAACCGTTAGCCCCAAACCGGAGACGTGTTTGATCACCGAAGAGATATCCGAAACCGATTTGGGGTATAACACTGCTGCTGGGAGGAAATGGTGTGTGTTCCCAAAGTCTTTGGCTGCATGGTCAATATGGTCAAAGCTAAGGTACCCCTCTAGTTTTAGGCCCCCCCTCAGTGATGATGAACCATTACGTTCTAGAAGGGGGGTGGGGAAAGGGTTGGTAGAGCAAAGGTTACATATGGCAATGCCATAACTGGATAATATGAGTATGATGAATCTGAGGAGAATAGTGTTGTTTTGTTTCATTATTGTTGTGTGTGGAGTGGTCTCACGGAAATGATCGAAGGGTGATGGTGTGTGCATATAAAGGGGAAACGAATTGAATTGAAGGTCAGTGTCATAGACCATTATATTGGATGACACTTAAGTACAAAACTTCATCCCAATCAATAGGTACTATGATTATGTTATTTTATTCATTAATGATAACAATAATATTTTTACTATTATTAAAATGCTTTTTGAGGGTGGTTTTAGGATGAAATTATGACGGAGTACAGTAAATGACAAACAAAAAATAATGAATAAAAGTATGACTTTTACGACACCATGACTCTATAATGAATTTTTTTATGAGCTCCAATGATCACTTTGAGAGTTTGAGAAGAAGTCACTGTTGCAAGACTATTAATGTGTTATGACATTACCATGAAAAATGAGTGACATTATTTAAAATTTATTAATACTCCGTATATAATTTGAAAAAGAATCTCAATAACAATCTATGATTGCATTCCATTCGTCCAACAAAATTGTTCTCCTTATCATTTTGGGATGTCTCAATGGTTCTTCTCATTTATATATTTGAAATTTTTTGGATGGCTAACATTCATTTACCTTTTTCTTACTCAATCATACTATACATTTCTACTTTATTCTCACTTTCTTAATAAGCGTATCAAGTCAAATCGGATGGGAAGTATTTTTTGGAGGGAGGGAGTATATATAGAGTACCATTTCTGTCTCAATTTGTAAGTCTTGCACGTTGAATTTACTGGATAGAAGCTTTGGAGGATAGTTCACAGAGTTTAAGATTATGATGGTAAACTCTGAATTATAAAAAAGGAAAACAATAAAAGGAAAAAGTGAACTCACCTTTAGATGGATGGACAAAGATGTTACGTAGGAGTAGGAGTAGAAGTTTTCAAAGTCTTCATGCGGTGCCAAACTTCAGTACCTACATGTCACTTGTCAACATATATCCGATCCATGTTTGGTAAATGTCGGATCCATTTATTTATGATCGACTCGACTTATAATTTTAACGTGTTCATATATAATTCGAAATAAATTGTTATAATAAATCTATAATAATCAGCAGGTTGGTTTCCAAACAAGTTCATGAAAGTTTGATTCACTTCAATTAATCGTTTGACTTATCCTTAGCTTGATCTGACAATGTTTTAATGTGCATGTGTATTTAATTTCTTATGCGACTTGACTCATTCGACAGGTAAACGGTATGAAGATTTTGTGAGAAACGGATTTGTCACATATTTAGACATGGAAGCATGGGCGTATGGGCTAGGGTAGTTACCGGTTAAGACTTGCCCATCTTTTGATGGGAGATGTTCTTCATTTTATATAATGAGAAAGCACTCAGTTATATACTAGCAATTCAATGAAATATATACGGCCTCTCAATCAAATACGGAGTATACGATTTATTCATGTAGTCTGATTTATACCAATTATTTCATCTGATTTTTGCTTTGTAGTTTGATTTCAGTAGGAGCCACGATTGGGGTTGTAGTACTCACTATCATAGGATATAATTAATAAATTCGAGGTTCATATTATATACTACCTCCGTTCTCTTTTAGTTGCAACGTTGGACTTTTTGCACTATTCGCATATTCTACTTTAACTACATTTTATTAATTGATGTATTATAAATTAAATTTTTAAAAAATATTGTTAAATTCTTCTCATTCTAAATTTTCAAAATATGATTTTTTAAAATTTTTTACTAATACGGAATGAAAGATATTAATGGTCAAACTTGTGCGTTGGCAAACGTGAAATGTTGACTGTTGCAATTAAAAAGGAACGGAGGAAGTACATTTCTATAGAATCTACAATCTTCAATGCAAAACTTCATATCAGTGGCGGGTACTACAATCTGATTTTGCTGAAAATTATACTTAATTTCCCATGAAATAGTTATTAAAAGGGACAAAATTATTAGTTACATGACACGATTTGTAAGTTTTTATCATTGGAAATCACCTATATATATTGATATTATGATATATAATCGAGAAAATTAATTCAGGTATGACTAAAAGAGATACTGTTTCCCAATGTAGAAAATTATTACTACATTAAGACATATGGTAGGTGTGTACATCCTTAGCTAGTCATATCAACTGCAAATATACTTTTTAAGCCATATTATAAAAAACGGGACATGTTTTAATAATATATGAATATTTTCCCTATATAATTAACATACTTACATTAAACTCAAACATCACACCACTCCTCCCCGAAACTCGAAGGACGTGTTTGGTATTCAGCGGTTAGCGGTTAGTGGATAGCAGATTATGCTAGCGGATTGTCAAAAGCGGATTCAGTCAACGGGTTTGTCTAGCGGAATAAATTGACAGGTTGTTAGAAGATATTTGATAATTTAACTGTTTGGCCATAAAATTAGTAGGAAACGTCATCTTTCAAAACGTCAACCTAAAACTCTCCTATTAGCAGCGTTTTTATTTCATCGTTTCATCTAGAAAAGCTAGTGCCGAACCGCTATTTACCTAACAACTTTTTCACCTATTGAAAACGTAGAAAATGGTCAAATCGCCATTTTTCGGCTGAAACGCCGTTTACCCAACACTCTCAAAATAACCCAACTTTTAATCGGCAAATAGCCTAGCCTAGACGCCCAAATATATCACAAATTATACCCTACAACCGGCACACCATGAGGACGGTGTGCCGGGTCCTAAATAAGGAAAAGAAGAAGAAGAAGAAAAAGACAAAGCATCGATCATCTTCGACCGCGGCAAAGCAGAGCAACACCAGGTTTGAGCATCGATCTCTTCCTCAAGCTCTTCAAACTAGCTAGTTAGAAATCAATTAGATTCTTTGATTTTCAAACTCACTCTCAACTACGTACAAAGCCACATCTCTTTTAGGACAAAAAAACAATTTCCTTTGCTTTGATTTTACATCTAATATGAATCTGACTGAAAGCAAATTCTTTTGATTTGATTTAGGAGGTCAACATATTATTCCAATTCAGATTAATCTGAATTTTTCTATTCACTTGGATGTTGATTTCACAAGTTACATCTCATTGTTCTCATGTTACATTTGAATAGGCTAAAGTTACATTCACAAATTACATCACATTTGTTCCCACGTTACATTTGAATCAAAACAATTTACATTTCAACGAGTTACATGTGAATGAGTGCAATTTACATTTTGATCAACTTGAAGTTACATCTCGAATCACACGAGTTACATTTCATATAACCATAGGTGCATGATGCTCACCATGCACCGGTTGCACGGTATACGGCCTCCAAATATATACTTCCATTAGTTCGATGTGTAAATACTTTGTAACAAAATCCATTTATAACAAAATCTCTATACCGTTTACTTGTCCAATGAGTCAACTCGCACAAGAAATTAAATGCTCCACATGCATATCATACATATGCACAATATAACATTATTCTCTAATCAAAGATAAGTCAAACGATTAATAAAGTTCATCAAACTTTCAAGAACTTGGTAAACAAAATACGGTTTTGTTAATTAACGGTTGGTTTGAGAGCTGCTCTCTCCATGGTTTGGGGTTCCCCAAATTCTTGGATGCCATCCCCTCTGAAAAGTTCTTCAACTCAGCTCAATAATCCCTGGACTCCTGATTTTAGGAAATTTCCTTCCCTACCATCCCTAATGGGGAAAGGCAGAGGTAACATCACGAACACAAAAATGCCAAATCCACCCAAGATAGATGATGACGGGAAAGGCCCGAGTGCATATGTGAAACCGGTGACCTATGTTTTGACGGCTAACAAAACTTCATGGGCGGGCCTTTTTAAAGATAACAGGGCACCCTCAAAAGGAATGAAGCTAAGATATATTCCTACAGAAGGTGATTTTGTTGATATGAGCATTGAAGAACCCATAAATATGGTGGAAGTTTGGGGTTTCTGTCTTGTGGGTTTTTTCACTGGAAGGTTCCCAGGGATAAAATCAGTTTATAAGCTCATGGATGGATGGGATGTTAGATGCAAACTGCTGCAACATTCTAGAGGTTGGTTTGTGTTTCAGTTCAAAACAGATGAGGATAGAACAAGAGTTCTACTGGATGGGCCATATGATGTGGCTGGAAGAATGCTTATGCTAAAGGAACTATCTGAAGGTTTCTCCTTTGAAGATGAAGAGTTCCTAAAGGTTCCATTATGGGTAAAGTTCCCTAGATATCCAATGGAATGCTGGAATGAAGAGAAAATCAACATTGTTGCATCTAAAGTAGCACAACCAATTTACACAGATGGTGTTACTAATGAGAAGACTAAACTTGATTACGCTAGAGTTCTTATTGAAGTTGACATATCTAAGCCCCCTCCCCTCAGTGTTAAAATGAGAATGAGATCTGGCAAGAACTTGGTAACCAAACTGGCAATTAAATAAATAATTAAATAAACATGTTGAAAGTTTTTAGATTTTAACTATTTTGAAGCATTAAAATCACTTTTTCTTTTCATGTTGAATCTGAAAATTCCATAATTTAAAAATAATGTATAAATTCTACGGAGTATGATATTACATTTACCAAGATGGTAATATTACTTTGAATATACAGTAGGTAGTGTCATTTTTTATGTACTTCATTCTAATCTACTATACTATTTGTTCCATAATAAATAGCAACTTAATGTTACACGATGTCATCAGAGCACAAAGAAGTTGGCCCAAATAATGCCACACATGTGGTACAACTTTATCATGGTACCTATATATTTTTCTTTTTTCTTTTTTTCTTTTTTCGTTTTCTACTCAAATTTTTATTATTTCAGTAAAAAATGCCATTATTTATATCTGGTAATTCCATATTTTCTTACGAAAATGTCATATTTTTCGATTAGAAAAAGTCATTTTAATCGGAAAATGCCAATATCATACGGAGTATAAGGGAGGAGTCGAGGAGATGGTTGTGCCTCTAACTAGAGGATCGGACGACGCAGTGGCACCAAATGAGCACTCACCGGATCGGAGGACACGACACTGGTGCCCAATGGTGGCGGCAGCTTTGCCAAAATTATACGAAAATATAATTTGGGGAATAATGGCTTACCCTATTGGGTGTCTTACCTTATATTTATAATAAAGCAGAGTTATGAAGAATTACAAAGTAATCTAAATTTTACATTATTACACCCCCTCAATTTATGCAGGGGAATTACATGCAAATTGGAACGTAATAATTCAAAAGGCTGACTAAATAAATTCTTGGTGAAGATATCAGCTAATTGCAACAGTGTAGGAATGTGCTTCACCACAAGATCTCCATGTGCTACTCGCTCTCGAACAAAATGATAATCATCAATTATAATGTGCTTACTCCGATCATGCTGAATAGGATTAACTGCCACGTAAGAAGCTGAGACATTAATTATCACAAAGAAGCTGCACCGGAGCAGAAATAAAAATACCCATATCGGCCAGAAGTGAGCAGATAAAAAGTGTGTCCTGGACAGTGTATGCAATGGCCCTGTATTCGGCCTTTATAGAAGACTTGGATACTGTTGGTTGTTTCTTGGATCGCCACAAGATTAAATTGGATCCCAGAAAAACCGCATATCCATCAGTGGACCGCAAGCTATCAGGACAGCCTGCCCAATATGCGTCAGAGTAAGCCGTAACAATTGAAATATTTTTATCTGCTCATAGCCATAAACCATGAGTGTTAGTGCCCTGCTATTACCTTTAAATTCTCTTAATGACAAAAAGGTGAGTAGTACGTGGAGCATGCATAAACTGAGACACAAGATGTACAACATATATAAGTAATATCAGGTCTAGTAATGGTTAGATACTGAAGAACACCTACCATACTGTGATACTCAGCAACATCAGATAATAGTTCCCCATTTGTGAGATAAAGTGTAGTGCGTGAAGGTAGGGGAGTACGAACAGGTTTTACAGTATGAAGATGAAAACCGCGCAATAGATCAGATATTTATTTTGCCTGAGATAAGAATAAACCTGTAGGTGTACGCTTAGCCTGAATACCCAAAAAATAATGGACATCCCCTAAATCCTTCATTGCAAACTGATGAGCTAGAGTATTTACGACAGAGGAAACAAATGAAGTAGAAGAACCGGTAATAAGAATATCATCCACATATAAAAGAATATAGACCACCTGAGAATTAGTACGATAAATGAACATGGATGAATCAGACCTGCTCTGTGTAAAACCACGACTCAACAAAAAACCACTGAACCAATGAAACCAAGCTCGAGGGGCTTGTTTCAAACCATAAAGAGCCTTACGAAGGCGACGCCCATGATTAGGATAGGAAGGATGAACAAAGCCTTGAGGTTGGCGCATGTAAACCCCCTCAGTCAAAACACCGTGCAAAAAAACATTTTTCACATCTAACTGACGAACAGATCAGCCCAAAGAAATGGCAACAGATAAAACAAGATGAACAGTGGTAGGCTTAACAACATGACTAAAAGTTTCAGTAAAGACAACACCAGCCTGTTGTTTAAAGCCTTGAGCAACTAAACGAGCTTTATGCCGCTCAACAGATCCATCAGGACAATATTTTGTCTTATAAATCCAGTTACAACCAACCACATTTTTAGTAGGGTCTCAAGGTACCAAATCTCAAATCTTATTATTAATCAAAGATTAAATTCATACGCCATGACAGCCAGCCAAGTAAAATTTTTAGTTGCCTATGTAAAACACGTAGAAGAGATAAGACACTTAAGCTAAAAATATTTTTGGGTTTGAAAATGTCATCCTTTGCGCGTGTATGCATCAGATGAACATTCATTGGGGTAGGTGGGGTCGAGTGTGCTGAGGCCGAGGACTGGGAAGGGATATGGTTACTGGGACTGGACGGGGAGATGATGGGAGATCCTATGGGTGATGTGATCGATGGAGCTGTTTGAGTGAGCTGGAAGTAACTGGTTGATTATGGGTGTGGCCTAACTACTGGGAGAAGAGGGTAGTAGGCTGCTGGGATTCCTGGGAAAGTGGGCAGTAGGTGTGCCGCACGTAGAGGAGTGGTGCGGGGTAGTGTAGGCCGAGGGAGAGGACTGGTTTGGGGTGCTGTTGGTGATTGAGGAGGTAATTTGTGGAGTTTAAAGACTGTGGGTTGGATGGGGACGAAAACCATCAGAGACAGAGGAGGAAAGTCAGGAGGAAGGCACGGTTGATGTCGGGGAAGAAGATGTGTTTATTAAAGAAGAGAGGTAAAATTATATGTAAAATTATTTTCATGAAAAAACTCATCCCGACTGACATAAACCCGGCCTGTGGAAGGAGATAGCAACGATGTCCTTTATAACCTGGAGCATAACCAAGAAAGACACAATGCGTAGAACGTGGTGATAGCGTATTGTGAGAGGGCGCAATAAAATTAATAAAAGAGGAGCAACCAAATACAGAGTTTTTTTCAAGAATACTATTAATTAAAAAAATATATACCAAACTGATGTCAGATTAAAAGTATTTAGGAAAAATTCACAAGAATAATCCCACCTTTCGCCGGTCTTCTCATAATAATCTCACCTTTAAATAATCCCAAAATAATCCCACCTTTGCACTTCATCTTCTTCCATTGGACCCTAACCAAGTTTTTTTTACCTTTTTTGAGAATCTTATATAAATAATCTTACATTTATAAAGATATAATAAAAAAGTGAAAGGTGAGATCATTTATATGATTTTCAAAAAAAGAGTAAAAAACATGGTCAGGGTCCAATGAAAGAAGATGAGGTGCAAATGTGGGATTATTTTGGGATTATTTAAAGGTGGGATTATTATGAGAAGACCGGTGAAAGGTGGGATTATTCTTGTGAATTTTTCCAAGTATTTATTAAACATGGGAACCATGGGAACGATGCTGCGCAGAAAGGAAGAGGAGTGGAGCACCATAGTGGGACCCATCAATAAATAAAATCCCATTTTTTAAAAAAGTGCTATAATTTTTTTATTTGTTCTCTGATTGTTACAAAATATATATCAAAATTCATCATTTTTTATTACCTTTCATATGACACCAATATTCCATATGTAAAAATGAAAAAAAAAATTAACATTTTTTAAAAATTGTTTTTAATTTTTTGTAACTTTTTAATTTGTACTCCGATCATTACGAAAAATATATCAAAATTATTTAAATTTTTATTATCTTTCATATGAAATCAATAATGCATATGTATCAATTAAACATATTTGGAAAAGGGGTCAAATAAGGGCTTACAATATTGCGGAATCGTTACATAAAGTCATGTACTGAATAAAGTGTCATATAAATGCGTCTACTTATAAAAAGCAATCGGATGAGTCAAAACGACCCGTTGACAACCCTCTAATCCCGATTTTAGCTTGTGTCGTTATTTTTGTCTTGTATTTAAGTCAATGCTGCTCAAATATTCACGTTAACCTTATAATCTATTTTAAAAAGATAGTCAGGTATACGCGAAAATCAGGATTATGAGGTCGTCAACATGTCGTTTGGAGTCATTTGATTGCATTTATAAATAGACATATGTATAAAAGAAAACGAGGCTCACCTCTAATATACACCGGTCTGGGTACCTTATCCGCCCCGTTTCAAACGGGTCGGTTCAATCTAAGTACTCGTTTTTGTAAAAGAAAAATACGTCTATGCTAGCAAAGTACGGAGTATCTAGTAAGTTACAAAATTCTCAAACTAATTAAGTATCAATGTCACCATAATATAATACGTAGTAAAAATTTAAAATAAGTATTTAAAACAACATTTTAAGTTAGTTAACAAAATATTTAACCACAAATCTATAAATGAAATAGCACATCATAAATAACACCATATTTTTAAATGTAGAGATTTAGACATCATCATCATACATAAACTAGAAAGACATATAGAACTATAACGTCGTAAGAAATGAAACTAGTTACTATACATATTTTTCTACGAAAACAATTTAAATCTCATTCAATCTCAAAATGTAAGTATAATTAAGGTAATTAAATGAATACGTTTCTAAGTCACACTTCATTGAGTAAGAGTCTCTGTTTACAAAAAAATATTAAATAAAAAAAACTTGATGCGTTTGTAATAGAGAATTAAGGAAGACATATATGGATTAGACTTTGATTCTTGTTTTTTGACTTTATAAAACTTTTAATGTAGTTTTTGAATATGTAACTTTTTTTCTAAAAAAAATTGAGCGCGGACATAGATCTGTTTGCTTTATTTTCGGTCAAACATTGTAAACTGTAATGGTATCATCAAATTGGGACGGAGGGAGTATATTTTAAAAATAAAATAAAAAAGGCCATATGGTATCCAATTAAAAATTGGATCTCACAAAAATAGGTATGAAGAGAAAATTGCGAATGCTGATATATTTTTCAATCTAAGTTTGCTTCGATGAGAAAGAAATTTTGATTCGAAACATAATTTTGAGTTCAATTGGACACCATATGGTATTAGATTTTAAAAAATTATATATGCAATATTGGTGTCAAATTCAAAATCTTAAAAAGTTATGAATTTTAATATATATTTTGAGCCTAAACTAGGTGTACCGTGAGAAAGAAATTTTGCTAGATGTATAGATTTTTTATTATATATTTCACACTTGGACACTATATGACCTTTAAATTTTTAAAAATTTATATATAGGCATTATTGGTGTCATATGAAAGATAATAAAAAATTATGTTATTTTTTTTAGAAAAATTTAAGTAAAAATTAAAAAGTTATAGTCATTTAAAGAATAAAGAGAGTTTTTTTAATATGGGTCCACCAGCTCCTCTTTTTGAGTTGGGCAGTCGGCTGCTTGTTTCCGAAATTCATACCAACCAAATGAAAGTCGCCCTTTCGTTTGGCGGTTTTCATTAACCTTAGTTTGAGGCATCAATTTTCTGATAATAAGTTTTAACTCAACACTAATTTGGTAAAAAAACAATTACTTTGGCATTATTTTGAAAAAAAACTCCCAAATACATGCATAAAATTATAATCAGGCAATTTATTAAAGAGTTTTTTATATGGAGATACTCCATACAAAACTGGGGTAGGTAAACGATTAACAATAAAAGTGTCTATGTAGAGAGCATCTACCCAAAAGTGACTAGGAATAGAAGCATCAATCAATAATGTCTTAGTTAATTCAAGTAAATGTTTATGTTTTCGTTCAGCCACCCCATTTTGAGCAAGAGTATGAGGATAAGATTTTCTAAATAAAATACCTGAATTTAAAAAATGCGTGTTAAACAGAGTGTTATCAAATTCACCCCCACCATCACTCTGATTTTTTTTAGTATTCAAAAGATTTTCAACCAGTTTTTGAAAAATAATAAAATGTGTAAAAACTTCAGATTTCCTATGTATGGGGTAAATCTAGGTATATCTAGAGAAATCATCAATAAAAGACACATAATATTTAAAACCCAGATTAGAAACAACTGGTGACTGCCAAACATCAGAATGAATAGTTTCCAAAGGTGCAGAGGTATCATGAATAACATCATAAAACGGAAGTATATGAGATTTACCCAACTTACATGAAACACAATAATGAGTAAAAGCTGAAGAAGTACTAATTAATTTATTTTGCCTAAGAGTACAAATAATGCTATCACCAGAATGTCCTAATTGCTTGTGCCAGACTGGACCAGGTACAACTCGGGCTTGAAGGGCAATAAAAGGGTAGACATGATCTTTATTAGTGGCCTGAAGAAGAAGCTCCCCTGTTTGATTGTCCTTAACAGAAAAAGAATTTTTATCAAAAATAACTTTACAGGCATTATCCGCACACAACTTTTGTATTGATAGTAAATTGTATTTAATGTGTGGGACATGGTAAACAGAATCGAGATGTAGCGGGTGACCAAATGTGATTAATTTAATGTGACCAATATTAGAGATAGGTAATTTAGTACCATTAGCAACATTGACTTGATTCGGGCCAGTATAAGTAAATTTAGAAGATAAAATACCTTCATGCAGAGTCATGTGCGCGGAAGCCCCAGAATCAAGATACCAGACCCAATCATGTGTCTCACCAGTGGGAAGAGCCGCAAGAGCAGGAGTATTTTGCGAAGTGAAACGAGAGCAGATGATGGCAGAGTGATAGGCTCGTTCCGTTCCTATCTTTTCACCCATATTTTGGGTGTTAATTGTCTAATTTTTATAATAAACCGGATGACTATTGGGAGTTTTGAGTGAAAATTTGTTATTTTTCGGTCCCGGTGGCATTTGTATTCGGTGTAGTATTTTTGTACACAATTTGACATTTTTGGAGTAATTTGATGGTAAAGTTACATATTATTAGCAGTTGTGGTGAGTTGTGATTGTTATAGGCTGAATTTGTGGTGAACTGTTTGGGCCGGATTGCTTCAGAGTTCTTTTATAAGTTATTTGGTGCAGCCCTAAATGCATTCCAATAAAGAAAAAAAAACCGCAACATTTTGTTCATTCACTGTAAGCCCAAAAAAAAACAAAAAAGGAAGAGCTGAGGTTTTCTTTTTTATGCATTTTTTTTATGCATAAAATGCACTTGCTCCCTTCGGTTTTCTTTATTTTTTTTATGCATTTTTTTTTCCCATTGTTTTTTTTGTTATCATCGTGTGGTTGTGCGGTTGTTTGGTCTGAAATGCAGGTACGGCAGAATGATCATAGACTGATGTGGATGAAGAAACACAACCCTATGTTGATGGAGCTCCTCATAGCCGCGAGCTGCAGTTTACTTCACAGTTGGCCCGAGAGTGGTATGAGAGTTGGACACAACATCAAACACTTGCATGGTTAAAGGTTAAAGACCTACATATGCTCAAGAAGTTGGGGTCTCCGGAGAGAAACTGAATTTTGCAGCAGATGCGACACAAATTAAGCTGCTGGGAGCTTTTACCTGGTTTGAAGTGCTGATTTTTTTAGGACCAGAGCAGCTGGCCGTTGAGGTGCAGACAAAGTAGCTCCAGCAGCTCACTTTCAGACTACCAGCAAGCTTTGGTAGCAGCAGAATGCGGGAATAAGTACACAGATAGGATCTCACAGCAGCTTCCCTTTTGAACTGCAGCAGACACTAGGACACTACCTCGGTTATGGCAGCTCTACACACTTGATTTGGAGTTGGAGGCAGACATGTGCAGGATTTCCAGCGTTTACGCATCCAGAAGAAAGCTATTTCAGCTTTAAGATTGAGGTACCAGACACACTACCCGGTCTTCCCATCACAAGACATCGAGAAGCTATCCTTTTACGCTATTCTGAAGGATATTCGGGAGGTTATTCACCGTTGTTTGGCTTGTACGGTATTCTGCCAACTTTTACTACACTACTAATAATGTGTGCTTACTCTCATATTACTCCTCTTGTGTGATTTGTGTTTATTATTATTCTGATTATGATATGCTGCCGGGCTGAAAATCATTTTATTCTTTAACTTGCCCCTGTTTTTTTTGTTTTAAATCTTTTTTTTGACCTCGAGGGCGATGTCACCCATAAGTGTGGGGAGGTTTGCTTGTAGCTTGGACATGACATTTGGTGATGAAGTTATTCTGCCCAAAAACATTTTGAGGTGCACAAGATTTTTTCTAGTTTAGCAACGCAACAAAGGTAACTTGTTAATCTTTATTTTTCTTTTGTAAACTTCCATCTCCTCCATCTTTCTTGGAAAGAATTAGTAATGGTGTAATCATCGGGGTGGTGTGTATATTCTTGGGAAATGTTGGCATGTTGGATGGTTTGATTTGTGTTGATTAAATTCGGTTTTTACTCGTGATTCACTAGTTCGCTTATTAATTCCTTGACTGACCAGGTGTTGAAAATCCTTACTCCATAAGGAGCTCTGCTTGCTAAGCATATCGGGATAACTTCATGTTAAGCAAGTAACTGATTCTTGTAATGGGGTTACACTTCATGTGTCGAGAATTTCATCCCTGAAATGGGGCTCTGCTCATCTCGCGAATCACCCTGTGTGAGAGTTGAGTACACAGTAATGAGATAAACTCCCAGACCCTAGAGCTTGAATCAGTCTTGTAATCCAGAACCTGGTCAACTTTTCTTATTAAAAAAAAAAACAGAATCACGAGTATACCGGTTTTTATCACACAATTCTTGGGTTTTTGGAATGATTAGTGGTTTGAATTTCACACACTTACACTGTTGGGACCATCATGCTTTTCTTTACATTTTAGTTGGTTGGAGAGGGACTTTGCTTTTGGAAATATTGTTTAACATGTGAATCTTGGTTTCGTTGTTAAAAAAAAGAAAAGACCTTGTGCAATCATTTTGTTTTGGGGTGTGAATGATTTTTGAACCAGGTGTGACATGTGATTACTTTGTTTTTCTTGGGTTTAATGCACTGTTGCTTGGGGGCAAGCAACGCTCAAGTGTGGGGAGATTTGATAGGCTCGTTCCGTTCCTATCTTTCACTCATATTTTGGGTGTTAATCGTCTAATTTTTATAATTAATTAGGTGACTATTGGGGGTTTTGAGTGAAAACTTGTTATTTTTCGGTCCCGGTGGCATTCATATTCAGTATAGTATTTTTCTACACAATTTAACATTTTTGGAGTAATTTGAGTGTAAAGTTACATATTATTAGCGGGTGTGGTGAGTTGTTATTGTACAGGCCGAGTTTGCGGTGAATATGTTTGGACCAGATCATTTGCGGGTTACTTTAGAAGTTATTAAGTGAAGCCCAAAAAGAAAAAAAAACTGCAGCACCGATAGCAGCCCAAAAAGAGAAAAAACGGAGCTGGGTTTTCTCCCTGAAAACAACCTCAGCCGCAGGGGCAGTTCGATTATCAACATTTTTTCGTTTCTTTTTACTAGCAGCCGCACCAATCATTCATTCCTATCACAAGAAAAGCAGTCGTAGGTTTAGCTGCAGTTTTTGCTTTCGTTTCTGGAGTCATTTAGCCGCAGCAGAGGTTTTCCAATCATTCATTCAGCACGCAAACGAGCAGCAGGAGGAATTTTGTTCTGTTCTTGATCAAGAAGATAGCAACAGATTTTTTCTTCTTTATTCCTAGAATAGCCGCAGCACCAACTAGAAACCAAGCAGCTTTCTTTCTTCATGTTTTTGTTCCATTTCTTCCAATTCAGTTTCTACGTAATCATTGTAAGTTTAATTATACTTTACATTACTAGTTCGTACTTTTGGATTGAATTTTGAATTTGTTTATCTCCAACTTATAATTTCAGTTTTTTTTCCCATTAAATAGTCATACTCCAGTTTTTGTTGCCAGTTCCATATCATGTTTATAATTGTTATTGTGATGTTAATTTTTATTATGAGTGGCTAATTCCATCTAGGGTTTAAATTGGGGCTAGGGTTCATGGGTTCTTAGAGGGTGTCAGTTTAGTTTTTTTGAAATTCAATTAATTTCTGGAAAATTGTATAAGATTACACTTAACTGCGTATATGAATTTGATCACCTCATATATGAATGTATGGATTTAATTCAATTCTTGTCTATGAGAAATTGAGTTAAACTTGCTCAGATCTTATACGAGCAATCTGATCTTAGAAATAAGTTAAGATTGTGAAAATTTAATTTAATTCTTGTCTATGAGAATTTATTTCATTTTCTTTCCAGGAACAATTGGAAATCAATTTACTTAATTCTAATCCCGAAAGAACACCCAGAACCCGAACCATCCAATTTGAACCCTGTTTTAATATCCTGAATCAATTTAATTTAGTTTTTTTTTTTCTTTATTTAATTTTGCACTCACTATTAGTTAGTTTTATTTTTAAACCACTCAAAAAAATATTTATTCGGAAAGATTACCATGACTTGTGCTAGCCTGTGATCACGGACTGTATTTAAAACTTCCTTTCTGCCACTCCTTGAGAGACGATACTTGTGGTCTGGTTATTCTTCGGATTAGCCAATTACGTTTTACTTCACTCACTATAAAATACACCGATCAAATGGCGCCGTTGCCGGGGAGCAAGTGCAGGCAGTTACACTACGCAGCGGCGCCAAAATTTGATGAGTCATTTTCACAATGAAGCTCAACGGGTGTCGGGATATGGAAGTCCCGGATATCGTCTCACGGGACGGTGTATATGGAAAATCAAGTGTGAAATCAATCTAGAAATCTAACATGTAAGCTAGCCAAGTCGAAGTATGTTTAGTTTAAGAGAATAACTAAATTGCAATGGGGGTAAATAACAATTAAACTAGAAGGGAAGCGGGGGCATACAAGGAACAACCTATGATTAAGGATAAGGGGTCAAAATGGGGATACTTGGGAATATGTCATGCAACAAAGGGATAGGTACAAGTTCCCTTGCCACTCTCATGGTCAAGGGGGTACTAAGGGCTCCTATTGGCCATTCTCATGGTCCAATAGAAATCCAAAGTCATGCAAAGAAGACCAACCAACAATTTATTTCCCCTACTTTCTCCCATTCTCATGGAGGAAGGTAGTGTGTGTGTGAATGTGTCAAAAGGAACTCTACAAGTCTCCTTGAGGATCCAAAACATCATCCAAGAACATTGTGGCCATCAAAGTCTTAGAAATACAAAGAAGCATTTTCACAAACACATTGTGTGCATAATATATTTCTCAAATTCCCCCAAATCAAACCCCAAAACCTAACACATCACATGGTTGGATGTTCCTCAAACACCCCCAATCCCTAATCCCACTACTCACTCATGCTAGATTTCATATTCATAGGAGAGATATTAGACATAGACATGAAGTGAGATCAATGGATGAGATTAGGGAAAATATGATAATGATGCAATCTAAAGGATTAAATGAAGCTAGATTCAAGATTTGATGCAAATAATATTAAGAAATGAAGTGCAATTGAGTTTAAGCAAGCTTACAACCAAAACTAGGGTTTGCAAGAAGAGGGCTCGTCCCAAAAAATTCTGGAAATTCGAACAAGAATTGCTATTTATACAAATGGGGAATCGGGGGAACGCTAGGCAGGAACGGCGTTCCCCCTCAGCGTTCCTAACTTTACAAAATCAAACAACCCGCTGGCAGAGAGTTCGACGCTGGGAGGAACGCAAATGGGACGTCGTTCTCTCAGGAACGCTGACAGGAACGTCGTTCCCTGCCAGCGTTCCCACACCTGGGACATTGTATCAGAAATCCGGTGGAACAAAACGGGGGAACGCCGGAAGGGACGGCGTCCCCTATGGCGTTCCTGATGCTACTTCCACCAAAACACATCCAAGTCTTCATTTCTTGCTTCCTTGTGCTCCGCTTGGTCCCCGGGGTTTTCAATTCATCCATTTATGCTCTCGAGACTCTTCAAAATGCTCGTTTTCACCCCTACAATGCTCAAATACTTATCATGGTTCCTACAACCAAAATATTGCACAAATTTAACCAAAATGGGGCAAAAATCTTCAAAGGTTAACAAACAAAGACTATATTTTATGAGAAAGTATTAAGTGTTTTCACACCTATCAACTCCCCCACACTTGAGTCTTTGCTTGTCCTCAAGCAAACTAAAACTCGGAGCACAAGTTCAATGAGTTCCCAAGGCACCAACCAATTGAGTCAAGAATGAATGAGTGTATACAAGAAATAGTGAATGTCATGAGACAGAATGCATAATCAAGATAAAGATGCACATTGATTAATTCTTTCAACATAGAGACAAGCAAGGAGTAACACAAGCACACGGTCAACATTTTTCCACTCTTATCCTCACAAGGTCACCTCTCTCTCACATTCTAAACTCAAGGCATGATCAAAAGGACTTATGGGGATGGTTAAGATGGATGAAAGGTATGGGGTAGCAAGGTGATGGTTTAGGCCAAAAATCTAAAAACGGTCAGATGTAAACGTAATCAAAGGTCATCAAGGCACAACTAGGGTTCTTACCCGAAAGGGTATCATCTATAGCTCCGACTTTAGTGGGCAAGCAATGGTACACACTCAAGGCTCAACCACCTGCTAGTGTATACCTTAAGTGTGCAAATGGGTTTTGGTTCAGTATGGGGATGAGTCAACCTTTTTTTTTTTTTTTTTTTTTTTTGGAATGGTTGGTCATGGATGTGCCTAATTACTGATTTGTCGGGTTATCTCATGTAAAATATACTCTACTCTCGCAGAACACGATTAACGAGTAGAGCAGAGCCCCTTCACGGAGATGAAATTCCCAAGGATAATGTCCCAAACCAATAACTTCGACACAACCTGACAAATGAGGAACATTAGGATTCAAAAGGCGGCCATGCTCACCCTAGTCGTCATTGCATCTCAACCCCCTCAAAGGCAAAATTTAAGGAGAATCCACCCATTGTGTACCTGTCAAAACCTAATGAAAACTCAAACACCCAACACGGTCCCAAGTCGAAGCAATATGGCCATAGAGCAATAATCGGATAGAGAAAGAAATGATCAAGCTCAACGGGGCCTCACCTAAAGGGGACGACGTAGGGTTATGGAAGTGGAAATGTGGATGGGTGGAGGTGAACTAGTGCCTTCATCATTTCATGCAATGAGTGTGAGTGTGTGAAAGATGTGTCTCTAAACTCTCAAGTGGTCAAAATGTGAACTCCTAACAAATCTCAAACAAAAGAGTTGATCAATGAGCACCTTTAAACAAGTTTATACACCTATTCACATGCATCTACAAACTCATTCTTGACAACAATCAAGAAATGTCAAAGTGACCACACTCAAACCCACAATCACAAGCTTTAGTTCACTTCAAGAAAAGCGCACAACCCCCCCACACTTAGAATCAGGCATCGGCCTCGATGTCTCAACAAGAGAGCACAGTGGAGGGGTTCAAGAACCCAAGCGCAAGCATACAAGCAGATAGGATCATGAAAGCACAACAAAGAGCGTCGGGGCGCCCCCATAAATACAAAAATAAACGTCAAGGCGTCCCCATAAAGTAGCATACATACCGTAGATGAAGCGCAAAGCGTCTGGGCGCCCCCGTAAAGCAAGAGTTTCAAACAGAAAATAAAAATACAAAACTAAAGAAAACAAGTAGTGCATGAGTGAATCATATGAATGGGGGCTGAGTGGCATCAATCATGGGCTCGCTCCCATTTGCAGAAGGCTGACCCGAGCCACCTGGCGGCGGACGGGATGAGGGAAAAGTAGAGACCCGCTCCTCCAGTGAAGTGATGCGACCCATCGCCGTGTCCCAGTTCCCCTCTATACGGGAAATGGAAGACTCTACAGAACGCACACACTGGTGTAGTGCTCCTATAGAAGTGTCAACATGGTCGAATCGTAGGCTGAGACCGGCGATGGCGCGGAGGAGCTCGGCATGTCCAGGGCTCGGGTTATTGAAACGTGGGACGCGGGGGGTGGCGGGGTGGGACTCTGCTATCGGTGTCGGTGGCGCCATCTGTCTCGGCATCAGTAGCCGCATCGGTACGACCACCAGCGTCGGTCTCTGTGTCTACCGCTGTATCGATCGGGGGAGTAACATGGGCACCTCCACCACTCGGGTGCAACTGCTCCAGCTTTAGGCGCTGGATCGTTCGAGAGGATATCGGCTCAAAGAAAGCAGGTATGAACGGGCCAAATGGCGCTAACTCCGCAGATGTGCACCCCAAGTACCTGGCCATCATGGTGATAATAGGCCCACAAGTGATCCCGCCCACTGAGCTGCTCTGCTGGGCCACTAACATGCCGGCGACCTCCACTGCTGTGTTGACCCTTGTCCGGGTCGCCATAGAATAGAAGACCGAAAGATCATTGAGATTGAAAGTGGTGGAGTTGCGGGGCTTAAAATGTAGGGAGTGCGCGATGACGTTATGGACCACCTTCCAAGCCGGCGACTTAAGTGATGTGGCTTTGCATTTCTTTGAGTGTAGATCAGGGGCTCCAATGACAGAGTGGGCATTCCAGAAGGCATGGCGATCGCGGCTCGCGGGAGCCTGAAGAGGAAGGGCGTGATACTCTGTGGTGTCAAGGAACTCCTCGCTCCAAAAGCCAAGGGCGACGCCAAGCTGTCCGATAGACATCTGGCGGCGCTTCCCACACGCCATGAAAGAGAAGCGGTAATCTGGGTCCCGAATCGTGTGCTCAATAGTAAGCGTGGAGAGAACTTCATATGTGAGGAGCGAGTGCACCCCCTCACGAATGGAGAAAAAGACTGCCCAATCCCCCCACAGAAGCTCTAAAATCTCATCCCACACCCCCGCCGATGTCAGTGCTACAGGGTCAAATACGCGGGGTCGTACCATGGGCTTTTGATGAAGCCCACTGTAGGTCACCCGGTAGGATGGCTCTTTAGCAAAGTAAGCGATCGGGGGCGGAAGGGACGCAATGGGGATCAAAGGAGGAGGTGGGGCAGTCTTCCGTCTTCGCGATGGCTCATCCGACTCCTCGTCAGTAGCATGAGATGATGGGGCACGACGTCGGGACCGCTTAGATGGCGGTGGGACATCCTTGGGAGCGCGTGAAGATGATGCCGCTTTCTTCCCCTTGGCCCGCGGCATCTGGACAATTTCAATAACAATAAAGAATTAGCCCGGGAACAACCACACTATATCAAAGGATAAGTAGCCCACTAGCGCACTCCCTAAGAATCACAACTATGAAGTACAACACTCAAAGCCCCGACAAAGCAACAAACGCGCGACATGCCACTACAAATCGGAAGAATTTTCATAAGCAAAGCGAGCAACCTACATCCTCACACATTCTTTCCCTTATTGAACAAGCTCAAAAACAAATAATTCAAGGAATTTTAACAGCACTCGTAAGAGCATTCAACAAGAGCATTTAAGGGACTCAATCACAAAACTTTGGGGAAAATCAACGGACTCAAGAATTCATCAACATCATTTTTTTTCAACAGAACCCAATCCAAGGGAGCAAGTGCAGGCAGTTACACTACGCAGCGGGAGAACTCTTAAAGAAGATGATATTCTGCCAGTACCTCAACAAAGAGATGACCAGCAACCTCAAGGCTCAGATTCCCAGGAGGTTGAAGAAGAACTAGTGGCTGCCCCTATTCCAGCAAAGAGTAATGAAGCTCAAAAAGAAGATTCTCAGAAGAAAGCGGAGAGTAAGAAGACTCCACCCCTCCCGTTCCCTACACGGGTGAAGAAGAGCAATGATAACGCGAACCTGATCAGATTTATGGAGCATCTAAAGCAGCTGCATATTAATATGCCATTCATGGAGGCTTTGACAGAGATGCCGAGGTACGCAAAGTTTCTGAAGGACCTCCTCACCAAAAAGAGGAGGTGGGAGGAGCCAGAAGTGGTGGATCTTAATGCAGAATGTTCAGCAGTTGTTCTGAAGACCATGCCTCCAAAATTAAAAGACCCAGGGAGTTTTCTTGTACCTTGTTCTATTGGAAATTTTAAGTTTAATAATGCTTTAGCTGATTTAGGAGCTAGCATCAACCTGATGCCTTCCTCTGTGGTCATGAAACTTGGCTTGGGTGAACTTAAGCCCACTCGTATGAGCCTCCAGCTAGCGGACCGATCGGTGAAATACCCGAAAGGAATTCTAGAGGATGTATTAGTACGGGTGGAAAAGTTCATATTCCCTGTTGATTTTGTTGTCATGGACATGGAGGAAGATCGTGAGACTCCAATTATTTTAGGGAGGCCTTTTCTAGCTACTGCTAGGGCCCTTGTTGATGTTGCTGATGGTTCACTTTCTCTGAGAGTTGGGGACGATGTGTGTACCTTTAAACTCTCAGATGTGATGAGTAAGGCCTCAGATCCCACTGAATCATGCAATTATCTTGATATGTTTGAGTCAGTGGAGGGGTATTTGTTTGGAGGCGATAGTGATATTACCCCACCGGATAGTGACATTCATTATATGGGGGATGTTGTGGCCGAAAATGAAGAAGAAATGACTGTTGATTGCGAGCAGGTGATTAAGGATGATGTTTTCTCTAAGTTGCTTACTGAGTTTGAGGAACAGCCCACTGATAAGGTTAATCTTGAACTCAAACCACTCCCTAGTCATTTGGAGTATGCGTTTTTGGACTTAGAGGGCCAGCACCCTGTTATTATTTCAGCTCAGTTAGAGTCGGGACAAAAGAAAAAATTGGTGACATTTATGCGTTGTATGATAACTATCTTCGAAGAGTTTATTGTTGACTTTAAGGAGGTTTTAAGCCTTGAACCAGGTTAGGAATGAGAATCCTTGTCAAGCTAGTGACGTTAAAGAAGCGCTTCTGGGAGGCAACCCACCATTAAAAAAATTACCAAAAAAAAATAGAATCAGGAGTTTATTATTTCTTGTTTTTGCCTTTTTTCCCCTTTGTTTTTGTGATTTCGTCTTGTGGTTTTGCGGTTGGATTTCTTTGTTGCTTTGAATTGTAGGTGCTGCATGGTGATCATTGACTGGTCTTTATGAAGAAACGTCCTATGTTGATGGGGCTATTCAGCTGCTGCAGTTTCACATCAGGTCATTGACCTGAATTCGGATTCAAGACCTGCACTTGCTCAAAAAATGAAGATTTTGACAGACTGAGGGAGATTCTTGATGACGCCACATGCTGATTTTTTTTAGGACTAGAGCAGCTGGCCTTTGAGGTGCAGATGGAGGAGTTCCAGTAGCTCTCTTTCGGACGGAAAGAAAAATTCGGACTGAGTACTTCTGGGAACAACATTCTGCACAGGAGACATAGAGTTTCAAGCTCCTTTTAGCTTGAAAAGACACGGGACCAGATCTGTTTAGCGGGTTCCTCACTTCCTCATGAGGAGTAAACCTCCATGGTAGCAGCCAGAACGTGAGCTAACACACCGGGCAGCAGTTCACACATCAAGTTAGGTCGTGGGTCAGTACCTTGACCTGTCCTCTTCTCCCACGAATGAACTGGCCAGCCTCAGTAAGTATTATTGCAGCATTCCAGTGGCAGGATTCAGCGGCCTCTACACGTCTAGGAGAGTCATTCCAGCCCAATGATCATAGTTTTAGGCACACTACCAGATTTTCCACCACAGGAGATCGAGGAAGCATCAAATGCAGAGTCTTAAAGTTATTCTGTGTTGACATATCACCACCAGAGACCGAGGAGCTAGTTGATGCGGAGATATGAAGTATTCTGGAGGTTATTCACCATCGTTTGGCTTGTACGGTAATCTGCCAACTTTTACTACGCTGCTAATAATGTGTGTTTACTCTCATATTACTCCTTTGTTGATTGGTGTTGATTATTATTCTGATTATGATAGTGCTGCCGGGCTGGAAATCTTTTTATTTTTTAACTTGCCCCTGCTATTTTTTTGTTTTAAATCTTTTCTTTGACCTCGAGGGCGATGTCACCCCTAAGTGTGGGGAGGTTTGGTTGTTGCTTGTACATGGCATTTGGTGATGAGGTTATTCTGTCCAACAACATTTTGAGGTGCACGGTTTTTTTTTCTAGTTTAGCAACGCAACAGAGGTAACTTGTTAATCTTTACTTTCTTTTGTAATCTCCCATCTCCTCCATCTTTCTTGGAAAGAATTAGTAATGGTGTAATCATCGGGGTGGTGTGTATATTCTTGGGAAATGTTGGCATGTTGGATGGTTTGATTTGTGTTGATTGAATTCGGTTTTACTCGTGATTGACTAGTTCGCATCAAAAATTCCTTAACTGGCCAGGTGTTGAAAATCCTTACTCCATAAGGAGCTCTGCTTTCTAAGCATATCGGGATAACTTCATGCTAAGCAGGTAACTGATTCTTGTAATGGGGTTACACTTCGTGTGTCGAGAATTTCATCCCCGAAATGGGGCTCTGCTCATCTCGCGAATCACCTCGTGTGAGAGTTGAGTACACAGTAATGAGATAAACTCCCAGGCCCTAAAACTTGAATCAGTCCTGTAATCCAGAACCTTGTCAACTTTACATATTCAAAAAAAAAAAAGAATCATGAGTATACCAGTTTTATCACACAATTCTTGGGTTTTTGGAATGATTGGTGGTTTGAATTTCACACACCTACACCGTTGGGACCATCATGTTTTTCTTTACATTTTAGTTGGTTGGAGAGGGACTTTACTTTTGAAAATATTGTTTAGCATGTGAATCTTGGTTTCGTTGTTAAGAAAGAAAAGATCTTGTGCAGTCATTTGTTTTGGGTGTGAATGATTTTTGAATCAGGTGTTACATGTGATTATTTATGTTTTCCATGGGTTTAATGCATTGTTGCTTGGGGGCAAGCAACGCTCAAGTGTGGGGAGATTTGATAGGCTCGTTCCGTTCCTATCTTTTCACCCATATTTTGGGTGTTAATTGTCTAATTTTTATAATAAACCGGATGACTATTGGGAGTTTTGAGTGAAAATTTGTTATTTTTCGGTCCCGGTGGCATTTGTATTCGGTGTAGTATTTTTGTACACAATTTGACATTTTTGGAGTAATTTGATGGTAAAGTTACATATTATTAGCAGTTGTGGTGAGTTGTGATTGTTATAGGCTGAATTTGTGGTGAACTGTTTGGGCCGGATCGCTTCAGAGTTCTTTTATAAGTTATTTGGTGCAGCCCTAAATGCATTCCAATAAAGAAAAAAAAACCGCAGCATTTTGTTCATTCACTGTAAGCCCAAAAAAAAACAAAAAAGGAAGAGCTGAGGTTTTCTTTTTGTTCCCTGGAACGAGCAACCGAAAAGAGCCCATTCTTTCATTCGTGCATACAAGAGAAAAAGACAGCCGCACCATTCCATTCATTCTCCTCTAAGCACTTAGACGCAGCAGAGTTTTTCACTTTTTCATTTTAGCCACAGCGTCTATTCTGTCTGTTCTTTATTCCAATTAGCCGCAGCAGCAAACCAGAAGACAGCAGTAGATTTTCTTCTCTTTATTTCTAGAATAGCCGCAGCACCAATTAGAAACCAAGCAGCTTCCTTTCTTCATGTTTTTGTTCCATTTCTCCCAATTCAATTTAGTTCGTACGTAATCATTGTAAGTTTAATTATACTTTACATTACTTGTTCTCAGTTTTGGATTCAATATCATATCTAAGCAGTTTTTCTCTAATTGCTAATTTCAGATTCTTCCAATAAACACTCACAATTCAATTTCCATAACCAGCTCCTTATAATGCTTTTCAATATTATTGTGATGTTAATTTTAAGTATGAGTAGCTAATTCCATATAGGGTTTGAATTGGGGCTAGGGTTCATGGGTTCTTGAGGGTGTGAATTTAGTTTTTGAAATTCAATTAATTTTCTGGATAATTGTATAAGGTTAATCCTAATTGCCTATATGAATTTGATCACCTCATATATGAATTTTTGGATTTAATTCAATTCTTGTCTATGAGAAATTGAGTTAAATTAGCTCGGATCTTATACAAGCAATCTGATCTTAGAAATAAGTTAGGATTGTGGAAATTTGATTTAATTCTTGTCTATGAGAATTTACTTCATTTTCTATTCAGGAATAATTGAAAGTTAGTTACTTAATTCTAATTCGGAAAGAACACCCAGAACCCGAACCATCCAATTTGAACCCTGCTTTTATATCTAGAATTAATTTAATTATTTGTTTTTCCTCTCTACTTATTTTTGCACTCGCTATTAGTCAGTTTATTAGTCAGTTTTATTTTCAAACCACTCAAAAAATATTTATTCGGAAAGATTACCATGACTTGTGCTAGCCTGTGATCACGGACTGTATTTAAAACTTCCTTTTTGCCACTCCTTGAGAGACGATACTCGTGGTCTGGTTATTCTTCGGATTAGCCAACTACGTTTTACTCACTAAAAAAATTACACCGATCACAGAGTGACCGGGAGAGAAGCAAAGCTGACAGACAACTGGCAGAGCAGGAGAGGGATAGGAATTCTCAACAGACAGAAAACCTGCACTAACATCATAAGTACCACAAGTAGGAAAGTGATTAGTAAAACCATAACCAGAATTAACATTACTAAATACCGAACCTGTGCCACCAGAATATGGAGATCCACATGGAGGAGCCGGCTGCCCGTAGGGAACCCTATACGCCGGATATCCTCCAAACGGTTGCTGATAGTACTGATGTTGGCCACTTCTGCCCCGACCACGGCCACCCAGAGGTCTGCCTCCTCGGTTGCCGCGACCGCCGTGTGCTCGAGGTGCACCTGCACCATACCCGCCGTGTGCTCGAGGAGCAAGCCCTCGGCCTGGGGCTGCTTGTCCTGCCGCGAAGGCCTGCTGGACAGTGGGCTGGTCCTGAGATGGACTGGCAGTAGACCGGTTCTCCTGTGCTTGAAGGACCCGCCGTGTGCTTGAAGGAAAGTGATTAGTAAAACCATAACCAGAATTAACATTACTAAATGCCGAACCTGTGCCACCAGAATATGGAGATCCACGTGGAGGAGCCTGCTGCCCGTAGGGAACCTTATGCGCCGGATATCCTCCAAACGGTTGTTGATAGTACTGATGTTGGCCACTTCCGCCCCGACCACGGCCACCCAGAGGTCTGCCTCCTCGGTTGCCGCGACCGCCGTGTGCTCGAGGTGCACCTGCACCATACCCGCCGTGTGCTCGAGGAGCAATCCCTCGACCTGGGGCTGCTTGTCCTGCCGCGAAGGCCTGCTGGACAGTGGGCTGGTCCTGAGATGGACTGGCAGTAGGCCGGTTCTCCTGTGCTTGAAGGACCAGCCGCAGAGATTCAACTGTAGCATTCCCACGAAAATAAGATATAGTCATGATAAGAGGTTCATAATCACGACCCAACCCCAAAATAGCATACTCCATCAAATCAAAGTTACTAACGGGTGAATTAATTACAGCAAGAGCATTGTTCTAAAAATCGGCCTAGGCGGACTGATTAATCGGCCTAGGGGGCCTAGTCGGCCCTAACCGTAGAGGCTGAATCGGCCTAGTCGGCCAAAAAATCAGCCTAGTCGGCCTAAAAATCGGCCTAGTCGGCCGCCTAGGCGCCCCTTAACTGCCCGACTAGCTCCTAGCGAGTTTTAGAACAATGAGCAAGAGCATCAGCAATCAACTTAATTTCCAACAAATATCGATCCATGGTCTGTGAATCTTTCTTTTTAATATGTGACAAAGACCTCTTAAGTTCAACAGACCGAGCAAAATAGGCAGACATAAAACGCGATTCAAGACACTCCGAGATAAGATAAGAATTTTTCAAGTCATAGACCTCCATCAAAATATCCCTAGCCAAAGTAGCAAAAATCCAAGACCTAACCGTCTGGTCTATTTTCACCCAGTGGTGGTAGTCCGGATCTGTGACAAGCGGTACCCTAATTGAGCCATCTAGGATCCCAAGTAGACTGTGAGATACCAAGAATCACTCAAATTGGGCACGCCACGGTAAATAATCCTCAACAGCAGACAGTCGGGTAGTAACAATATTGGTCACATTGGGCGTAGAGAATGCCAATTGAGAAGACAAAGCAGATAAAGAACCTGGCAATTGTACAGAATCCGATTAAGCCAGAACCTGGGCTTGTGGCTGAGGGCGTGACACCTGCTGGTTAGTGAATGTTGGCCTAGCGTATCTCATGGTGGATGGACCGGCTTCTGGAGGGGCGTTGAGGACCGGTGGTGGAGGGAGACTGACAGTGGGAGTCCAGGAAAACGAATGCGGCATGCCAAATAAGCGATATGAATCAATAAGCTGAGATTCCATGCCGAAGAGTTGGGGCGAGCGGTGACCACGGCTGTGTAATACCATCTATCGGTGCTGAAACAGTCATGGATGATGTAGGGGATGATACCGCACTGCTTGAACCGACCTTGAACGAAGAGGTGGTGTCGAGGATGCTGGTGACGATATTAGATGAAGGCAGCTCCGATTGAATGGGCGCCTGGGAGGCCATAACAGCGGTGGTGTGCGGCTGCACCTGCGGAGAAGAGGGCGTCTGGGAAGAAGCGGCGTGTCTAAGGCCGCCGGTCATTGTGGATCGTGAAAGAGGAAAAGAAAAACCTAGGCATCTGATACCATATACAAAAATATAATTTGGGGAATAATGGCTTACCCTATTGGGTGCCTTAGCCTTATATTTATAATAAAACAGAGTTATGAAGAATTATAAGGTAATCCCTAAATATTACATTATTAAAAATATGGGGATAACGGTGGCGCGCAGTAGGGTTGGGTCCGAAAAACCGAAAACCGAAAACCAAATCAAATCAAACTGAACCGTAACCAAATAAAACCGAACCGCTAACAAACCGAAACTGATTGCAAAAAATCGAACCGAACCGTAGTTGTTTGGTTCGGTTTTGGTTTTTACTCCTCAAAACCAAACCGAACCGATCAAACCGAACTAATTAAAATATAAAATTTATTTGTCAATTGTTAAGCATTAATCCTAATTAATCCTAATATCATTAATAGTCTTTGCTTTTCTTGTGCTAGAGAAATAATGTTTGTGTTATGTTTAGTTTAGTTTAGTTTATAAATTCATTTACACATTCATTGTCCGTAATAATATAGATATACGGAATGATGATAATATGTTTTTACTAGATATTAGTATTAATTAACTTTTATTTTTATTTGACTTAAAGAATTCATATTGATGAAACAATCAATATTCATCTCAACTATATCACATAGGACGTATATAACCATATACTCATGAACTTTTTTTGAACTAGTCACAAACAATGTAGATTAATAATATATATTTTTTATCTCTCTCGCATACTCATATAATTCAAGACATATTTATTTATTTTCATTTTTATTTTATTTGTTGTAGTGTGCTTGCATTCTTTATGTAATACTATGTATATGTTTGATCTCTCAAAGTATTATAACAATTTTAAATCAAATGATAATTTTTTTTGGCAAAAAACCGAAAAAACCGAAACCGAATCGAAACAAACCGAACCAATCAAACCGTGGTTCCAAGTTTTCAAGTGTAAAACCGAACCGAAACCAAACCGAAACCAAACCGAACTTTTTTCTTTGATTCTATATTTGGTTTTAGGTCAAAACCGAACCGCAAGAATTGAACTCACCCCTAGCGCGCAGGGTTTTTGAAATCTTCTGAAAGCTATCAAATTTGTTGTTTTCTGTTTATAATTATAAATAGACTTGATATTTCATTAAGGTAATTTTGTCAAATTATTATCCCTTTGCTCCTAAACAGGAGACTTCGAGATCTATAATTGTTCACTTCTTCATGGATCTAAATGAAAATAAGTTGCAGATCAAAAGAGATGCTCCGTAATAATTTAGTAGTCCAAGACTAAAAGTGGATGGAATCTTTTATGCTCCCTAAAGTGAATTTAAGTAAACCTAATGCAATAAAGTAAACCTAAGTGAACATAGGTCGATATGTAAAATAGTGTTTGGAAATATACAAGGTTAACCTAGGTTAATGTAATAAATGTTGTTTGGATGAAAGTACTCTAGCTCATTTTACGTTCAACGAGAACTTAACCTCCAAAACCCCCCGATTCGGAGGTTCTTCAATTTAAGGTTCTTTCAGGTTCTCGGGAGTTAAGTGAGGTTAACACATAACCCAGGTTCTTGTTGCAAAAATACAAACAAACTGGGTTAACTAGAAATTAAACCTTCAATAACCTAGGTTAACCCCAAAACAAACAGGCCATTAAAGTTAGCAACTACTTAAAACTTTTTTTGGTCGTATGTGGCTTCACTGTAATGGCAGCAGATATAGTACAACCGGCTGTACGGTGCCAGTCGTATAGCCCATGGCAAACTTGTAATTTTGGTGAAAATCTTGGCTTCTCTTAAATGAACATTGAATCAATTTTGATGAGCATCGAGCATGTTATTTTGATTATTAGGAGCCTAACGATGAGCATTAGTGATATCTGATTCATTCCTCATATATCACATTCTGTTTATTATTTTTTCGTTTATTAAAGTCTTCAATTATGTCTATAATCAAGTTCATTTAATTTCAATATGTGAACCTAATGGATTATGATGTGTTTAATATGTGCAACCTTTAAAAATGAGCATAAAACAATACCAAATGAGCATACACTACTTACAAAATGAGTATCAAAATATTTAAAAACTCATTAGTGTGTGCTCATCCA